ACCCTGCCCTGGTCCCCATCACCCTGCCCTGGTCCCCATCACCCTGCCCTGGTCCCCTGCCCTGGTCCCCGTCCCTCTGCCCCTGCCCTGGTCCCCGTCCCTGTCCCTCTGCCCCTGCCCTGGTCCCCATCACCTTGCCCCGGTCCCCATCTCTGTCCCCCTGCCCCTGCCCTGGTCCCCATCACCTTGCCCCGGTCCCCATCTCTGTCCCCCTGCCCCTGCCCTGGTCCCCATCACCTTGCCCCGGTCCCCATCTCTGTCCCCCTGCCCTGGTCCCCGTCACCTTGCCCTGGTCCCCATCTCTGTCCCCCTGCCCTGGTCCCCGTCACCTTGCCCTGGTCCCCATCTCTGTCCCCCTGCCCTGGTCCCCGTCACCTTGCCCTGGTCCCCATCTCTGTCCCCCTGCCCTGGTCCCCGTCACCTTGCCCTGGTCCCCATCTCTGTCCCCCTGCCCTGGTCCCCGTCACCCTGCCCTGGTCCCCTGCCCTGGTCTCCGTCCCTGTCCCTCTGCCCATGCCCTGGTCCCCGTCACCCTGCCCTGGTCCCCTGCCCTGGTCCCTGTCCCTCTGCCCCTTCCCTGGTCCCCGTCCCTGTCCCTCTGCCCCTGCCCTGGTCCCCGTCACCTTGCCCTGGTCCCCATCTCTGTCCCCCTGCCCCTGCCCTGGTCCCCATCACCCTGCCCTGGTCCCCATCACCCTGCCCTGGTCCCCTGCCCTGGTCCCCGTCACCTTGCCCTGGTCCCCATCTCTGTCCCCCTGCCCTGGTCCCCGTCACCTTGCCCTGGTCCCCATCTCTGTCCCCCTGCCCTGGTCCCCGTCACCTTGCCCTGGTCCCCATCTCTGTCCCCCTGCCCTGGTCCCCGTCACCTTGCCCTGGTCCCCATCTCTGTCCCCCTGCCCTGGTCCCCGTCACCTTGCCCTGGTCCCCATCTCTGTCCCCCTGCCCTGGTCCCCGTCACCTTGCCCTGGTCCCCATCTCTGTCCCCCTGCCCTGGTCCCCGTCACCTTGCCCTGGTCCCCATCTCTGTCCCCCTGCCCTGGTCCCCGTCACCTTGCCCTGGTCCCCATCTCTGTCCCCCTGCCCTGGTCCCCGTCACCTTGCCCTGGTCCCCATCTCTGTCCCCCTCCCTGTCCCTCTACCCTGGTCCCCGTCCCTCCGCCTCCCTGTCCAGTCCGCTTCCTCAGGAGCAGAGCGCTTGGCGAGGGCGGCGGGACGAGCAGCGGAGAGATGGAGGATTTTAAACGTGATCCCCTCAGACCCCCTCCCGGCCCGGGTGTTCATCTCCACTCTCGTGAAAAGCAAACGGTTTGATGTCACAGTGAGGGCTTTTTGTTTTTTTCCAGAAACATGACTGAAATGTGAACGTTTCTGCTAAAACGCACTCAGGAAAAAAGTAAAAATATCGTGCCCGACAGACCGTAGCAGATACAGCGAGGTGTTTGTCCTCTCTCCCCGTCCCCTTTCTGTGCATGAAAGCGACCTCGGTCCCTCCTCAAGAGCGACGTCTAGTGTCGAGTCGTTGCTGCCGCCGCGCGCCTGCCTCGGTGTCCCTCCGACCCGGCCGTTTCCAGCCTAACAGGAGCCTGGAAGCTTCTATTGTTGTAAAATATTTTGGTGTGAAACGGTTTTTTAAAAAAACTTTTTGTGTGGCAAAACAAAGCAAACAAAAACACCTAATCATATTTATTTTAAATTTACATAGACTCTTTTAAAATAGCTTTTTACAAAATCAAAAGCTACATTTCTTCTAAAAAATACCAGTAGGATCCCCTTCCCCACAATTCTACCAACCAAACAGCCCTGCTCGTTATTCATAGTATCCTCTTATTTTCCCTGCAGTTTCTAATGGGACAGACAAACGGATGCCTTGAGGGACTCCTCTCTGTCCCCAGTCATACTTGCAGGTTCCAGGCCTTCAGCCGGCTCCTCGGACGCTTTCACGGAGCATGACAGGGACAGGACCGGTGCGTGCCTGGGGCTGGCATTCAGGACGTCTAGCAAGTGAGAACCAGACCGTCCATGTGTTTACTAGTTCGGTTTTGCTAAGTTCTGTGCTAAAATTGCCTAGTTGCTGCTCATTGTATATAAGGAATTTTTACAGACTAACTTAAGAGTGCACTTATTTATTAATCTTTACTGAACTTTTCAATTTATGACATTGCCGGGAGGAACTCGGAGGGTTCGCCGATCTCCAGGACTATGTGCCTCGCGCCTGTCGTCAACACGATCTGGTCTGTTGAATCCAGTGGCTGTTCTGGTTAGCACAAAGGAAAGCCAGCACAAGCTCACGGGAAGGTGTGAAGTTGTGTGGACACATCAGTCCCTCCACTGCTTTTTGAGTTAAACCGGGTAGACTGGCTAGAGGGTCTCCAAAGTCTAAAGCTATATGATTTTATGATTGCTACCAAAAAAGTCTGAAAACAGCAAAACACAATGTTTCCTACAAAGAACCTGTAATTCCCTTAAAGTCGTCACCCCTATAAATTTCACCATTTATTTTCAGACAAGAAGAGGTTATATATTAATATTAAATAATTTAATTCCCTCCATTAGTAAGTGAAAAACTTTCAACTGTCAAGGGTCCGAAAAGTCAAAAAGAGAGAAAATTAGCAACAAACTATATTTTAGGATTACTGGCAAAATATAATTTCTTTTGCAAGATTTGATTTAGTTTGATTTCCTTTTTGAGGAAACTATATTGGATCATAAGAAGAAAACTGAACAGAGAGGAAAAAGCTGTATTTAATCTACTTTTACTGCACTGCGTATGTATGTCATGATATGGGCAAGTCATTTTTTAAATTTATAATAGTGTAAAGATCCAATGTTTCAGCTATAGTCATTTCTCTCTTTTCCAGAAAGATGCATATTTAATTTCAGATAAATATTAACTGCCTTCAAAGACTTCTAAAACAGATATATATTAACAGCATATTTTAAAATGAATTGTTATATTTGTTTAATCATTATGTTAATCATTTAATAATCCAGCTAAGCTCTTATTAGAGAACAGCGATCACCTTTTACAAAAGATAACATTATATGCTATAAAGAAATACTGCTTACTGTTTACCTTTACCAGTTCTGCTATTTTTACCCTCAGTATGTTATTAGTATCCTAGGAATGCACTAGAAACTGTATAAAGCATTTAGGAAGAGCAGCTTTCTAGGAGGACCAGTCTTCCTAGTGTAAACGTAATAAATGTAACCCCTTGTAAGTGACAATGTATGCACGACGTCTAGCAGCCTCTTCCAGATCCGTGAAGCTCGCGTCTGCCTAGTTCTATCCCTCCAAGCAGAGGAAGACACTATTCTAAGGACGTATAGTCATCCACCCCTTTCCCATTCTTTGATGCCACTTTTGCATTTCAACCACCACATCGTAGTCATGTCCAGAAGAAATATGAGCCCAGAGTTTCGTGTAGAGGGGTGGGGTACACGACAGCACGACCGATTTCCTTTTGCCCAATTTTCTTGCCCCATGGCCAAGATGAAGAGGACTTTTCATGGGGAAAAGGCTTGAAAGAACTGTGAACTTTACCTTGTCCCTTCGAAGTGGTTTAGTTATAAAATCCACCTAGAGAAGAGGTCTCAAGACCCCTGGACACTTGCCCTTTGTAAACCTCTATCTGGCATCTTTTTTCTTTTTTTTGTTTTGACTGGTAAAGGGATCGCAACCCTCGGCACGGTGTTGTCTGCACCACGCTCAGCCAGTGAGCACGCCAGCCACCCCTGTATAGGATCCGAACCCACGGCCTTGGAACTACCAGCGCCGCACTCTCCCGAGTGAGCCATGGGGCCGGCCCTCAATCTGTCATCTTTTGATGGCAGCAGCAAGTATAAATTTGAACGTGCACGTCCAACATCAACATGTTAAAAAATAAATAAATAGCCTCCTATTTGGTGTAAAGATCATGTCAACAAACTCACCCATGGGAACATTTGAGCAAAATATTGTCACCTGTACTGAGGAACACCATCAATGTATCTACACTCTATGTATTTTTTGCTGGGGATCAAATATCCTGGTCAAAATTGACCGTGCAAT